CACTTCCTAAGTTTTCTCCACCTTTCTGAGAACGTTTTTTACCGCAATTCATTCTTACCGAGAATACTCCTGTCCACCCAGCTGTATAGAGGTAAATACATGACTTTTTTTTTTTTGGTATCTTCTGAACAACAATTAGACACGAACTTGGTTTCCACACTTCTCCCCCTCTTAAAAATACTTTAAAAAAGGGTAAACAGCCTGTTAGCAAAACCCAGCCAACTGTATTTTACCGAAGTATAAAAATGACTGGAAATGTCATATAAACCCCTTTCTTTTTACACATATAAATAGCAGTTAATATTGTAACAGGTTCTGATCAGTACCAAACATTTAAAGGGGCAGGGGAATAAAGTACAAATTCATGCCACTAAGCCATCCTAACACACGCATCCAGGTAGGCAGCAACCTGAAATTAAGCTGTGTGCAAGTCAGATACTCACAGCAGGAACCTGAAACCAGCATAGACCACAAATGTATATTTTTTTTATTTTGTTACTTCCTCTGCCACCTAAAATTACAGTCTGCTTTTTTTTTTTACACTAAAGCACCTAAAATATTTACAACCATCTTCTAATAAAATAACAGTTAAATATTGAAAATAAGATTTTTCTCATAAAATATGTTTTCTATATGTACAGGTTTTATCAAAGAGGACTAAGTTCAATAGTGAACAGTTTTCCATCATCACCCATCAGCAAGAAAACAACTTTTCTGAAATAAAACTATGTCCGACTTATGTACAAATAGGCAGAACAGCATCTGTTTTAACATCAGCCAATGCAACACTTAATAATGAAGTCAACGTTTGAGGCCTATATTGTGTACTGCTTCAGAGATGTGCATTTCTTTCTTTTCATTTATGAATAACTTCTTTGGTTATCATTGTTCTATTGTCTTATTGGCTGTACAATAAAACAGCACCCGATTAACATTACAGAACCAGGCATATGCAAGTGTGTATGTATATATATATTTATATATACTAGGTTTAGCACAGATACCTGTCCCATTGTTGCTAGAAAAGTTCCACTGTAGATTCTTTGATACAGAGCTGCTCTTCAGAATCAAGCCCACGAGTTGCCACTATATTTCACTCTGTTCTTCAAGCAGAACTCTCACCAACTTAAATTATCACTTTGCTTAAACCCTCAAAGTTTTTTCCCACCATTAACAGGGGAATCTGAAAACATGTTTCCATCCTCCTGTGTAGCAGCCTTGCTCAGAAAGGTCCTTAAAAATTCAAAATGATACAAGTTTGGAAGAGAAAGAGTAGACTCTGCTGGGTTTTTCTAAGACAGGCTGCTAAAAACCAACATGAGTTACTGCTCACAAAAGCCTCCACTTTGCAACCTGCTAAGACTTGCACAATCTACAAAATTTGTTATCAGTGGATGTAGCTGGCAGCACGCAGCTGAACAACCTGGGTGGCGTGGCCCCTGTCCGAGTGACATGCCACAGCATGGACAGGAGCTGCTGGGGAGCGTGCTGCCTGGCAGTGCGGGGAAGAAAAGGCGGCTGCTGCCTGATCTCCTGAAACTCATAGGTACAGTAATTGAGAACATCATCCCTTACGCAGCAGAGGGAGTGAAATTCCACCCGCTGGTCAAAACCAACTAAAAAACCCCAAAAAACCCCAACAACCCTCTGGAACAACCCCCCAAAAAACACTAAAACAAACCACATACACAGAAACTTCACTAACCTGAAACTGAGAAGTGATTTCCATTCTCCTGAAGGGTTGTTCTTTAATATCAAAACATTCGACCCTAAGTAGAAACTTCAGGTCATTTGGCTTCACGTATTTGGCTTTGACAGAGAAGGTACCTCTCTGCCAATGAGTCCCACTGGTTTTGAACTTGTGTGGTCCGGTACTCCTATACAAAAGTGCCATGGTTTACCCTTATTTTGCATAGTTATACAAGGAAGAAAGACAGTAGAAAACAAGATCCACCATCTCTCAGATTCTGCTTAAGATGTTAGGAACGTGGCAAAACACCCCCAACAAAACAAAACACAACCCATTTAAAAAAACCCAAACAACCCTGAAGTCTGGAAGATCTGAAATCAGTCTTATAAAATATTTTATAAAGTTAGCAATACTCTTCTACTGTGCAAAATTCACAAGAAAAATCAGTGCTGCTACCCGTGAAAGCTCTAAAATCAGTATTCATATTCTGTAATTAAAGGCCCACTCAATCTAACTCCAATTCTTCCTTAGTTCTTTAATTCTGCAATTCTTTTGGGAACCCAGGGAACCAAATCTAGATTTATATAAATGGCGTTAGACATCCAGCATGTCGATCTGAACCTAAGGGAGGAGAAACGAACAGCAGAAACAGCAACGTCAACTCACCTTTGGAGTACGTTCTACTAAATAAACAACATTTGAACTTGATGTAATGAGGAGGACTGAAAATGGCACAAGAATAACATTTTGTGCCTACGAGCGATAGCTAACATGTGCTGGAGGCATATACTCCATCAGGCTCTGTTCCACGGGCAAAAACGTCTGTCTCCCTGTATTTGCCTGGTGAGAGAGCAAGCTCCTGCATCGCTCGAGCACACACTCTCCTCAAACCACCGAGATGGCTATTCAACAGTGTGATTTATTGTCACAGCAAAAAAATATATTTCCAGTGCAATCTGATTACCAAGGCGGTGTTTCTGATTCAGTGTTCCCATCAGATGATGTGAACCACCGTACAATCGTCTTCTTTCTTCAACCCTTGAATTAGGTAATTTTAAAATCAGCAGATCAAAACCTTGCTAAAATGGAAGCTCTAAAATGTACAGTGTAACCAATGCTTTTACAAACTGCCTAACACGTATGCATTAAGGCAAGACAGAACTGAAAAAGTACTGCAATACTACAGATGATACAGTCACTCCTGTAATTATTTCACAGTTAAATCAGATTTTTTTTCCCCTCCACCTCCCTTAAAATGACAGCACAAAGACAAAGAATGTAATCATCTCCTTAGCAGAGATGACATTTAGTCTCTAGAAGATGCTGGAAGTGATCCAGTACAGGCAAAAAAAAAAAAAAAAAAAAAAAAAACCCAGGCTTTGCATCGGAGACCGCAAGATCAGAAGTGTGTGAAGATCATTCTTGTAATTGGGCTAAAATGAAACCTGGAAGAGTTAAAGACTAAAGATCCTACCGGGATCATCTGGAGGGAAGCGATAGTAGAACCATGAACTTCTGTAATTAGTGGCCTTATCAGCAAAATGAGCTCAGATAAAAACACCTTATAAGAATATTTGTACCAATTATTTATTTTTTCCCCCAAAACACAAATTAATAAAAAAAAAAGGGAAAAAAGCAGATTTCTTTTTTTTCTAGACCTGGATAAAAGAATTATTGTTTTCAACAGGTAGTTTACAATCAAGTGGGGAATAAACGAGCAGTCCAGGTTTCCTGATTGATCCATTCAGGGTGTGCTCAGTAGCTGTCTTTATCAAACAACTTTATTTACAACTCGGCATCATCCTGCAGTAGATCTGCATCTTCATCATCCAATAAAAGGTCAGCATCCATGACTTCATTCTCTTCCATGACATCACCCAGCTCCTGAACAACATCGTCATCAATGTCACCAACATTTTCAACATGTTTAACCAAACTCATGTGATCCAGAGGGATCAAACTATGCCCAACTGGCCCAGTAGTTCTTGCAATAGTGGCTGCCATTTCTGCTGCCACAGCAGCTTTCTGAGCCTTCTGCCTTTGCTGTTCTTCTTGTTGTCTGTGAGTCTTCATATGAGCATTGCGGCTTTTGATTTTGAAAAATACCCTAAATTTTAAAGGAAAAAAAAAAAAAAATCAGATAAAAATGCATTGCTTTTGATGAAGTGAGCCAAAAAAGACTCAACAACCTATCAGTACATTTGCTTCCTTGTCCTGAAATAGAAGTCAGTGAAGTCTGCAATGCCATGGTGAGAATTTCAGGGACAGACTACCAGATTTATACATCCTGACAGTATCAAAATGGCCTACTCCAACTCTGCCTGAGGTACTTTGCAGCTCTCACCGTTGCTTCAGGATCCATGCACATCCTAATTCTCCCCGTACTTAGTTTCACAATAATCTTGCACAACAGGGAAGAAGGGAAGGAATCCCATGTCAGGATGGACAAACTCAAGCACAGAAACACAGAGAAAGCTGCCCACTGTCACGTGCAAGTCTGTGATGAAGCAATTTCAGGTGTAGAAATTCTAGCAGGTAAATAGATTCAGGAAAACTGGAGTAAATACTGCAGGGGAAGCATCCAAAATGTCGTGCGAACCAACCTCTGAAGGTTTTGGTAAGAGGACACGTCATCTAAGAGGAAACTGTTCTTTTGAGACCATCAGAGCAAAAGAGTTTGTCGCAACACTATTCATCTGGAATATAAATAGGCACATGCGAAGCGATACTGCAGACAGTCATATTCACTTACTTGCCACACTCCTTGCAAGGAAAAATTGTTGTTGGGTCG